ACCAAGCAGGACGAAAAGCATGTTCTGAGGTTTCTCCGTCTGACTCACTATGTCTAATGATTTTGTTTGAATAAATGTCAGTAGAGTGCCTTTCTTTTTCGCTTCATTATCTTATAGCTGTACAGTTTTGTTCATAAATGTTAGTTATACATCTAAAGCTCTCCTAAATTTTATAAACTTCAGGATCAACATTTGACCCTATACAGCTGAATAATTTGAGGATTGATTAAATGAATTATCAATAAAATATACTCGTAAAATCCCTAATCTCATTGGAATTTTACAAATATATTGAAGTTGGTATTCATCATAGACTGAAATCAGCTGGAGGAATATTAGAAACCCTAGAGCACTGGACAGCTGTTTCGTCCTAGTACTGGACTGCTCAGCAGTGCAGTTCCATGACTCAGCCAAGGATTCAACCCAGGACCTTCACTTCCTGTAGCCAACACGTTACAATTTAGTCAACTGAGATTAATAAATCCCTACAAACCCCGGAATTAAGTTAATCTAGTGCATATTGTTAACTAGCTTCAAGAGTTGGTTCCTAAGGTTCCAATAACCGGTTGGGCAAACCTGATGGACGTGAGGACAAATACTCAACGATGGCACTGGGTGATGGTCGCACTAGGTTGTGAACTGACAGAAGCTGGAAGTATGCACTACTGGATTCCAACTCAGTGGCTCAATGGTAACATGCTAACCGCAGTCCTAGGTTCGACCCCTGGTGGGGTCATGGGTGTCCACCTCTGGGGAGTCCTATACTAGGACGAGACAGCTGTACAGTGCCCACAGGTTTTCAGTGTTCCTCCAAATGATGTCAGTCTGTGATGAATACTAACTAGAAATCAATAAATCCTTCATTTACTCTCCGAAATTTGTTTATGTTGGGAACGGAAAGAAACTAATTCATAGTAATGATATAAAATTGCGTGATGACGTAGGAAGATTGTCTGTTAATATTAAGAGTGAATATAGAATTCCATTTCAAAATTAGGTCATTAAGAAATGCATCCCAAGAAGTATTGAGTTATGCGTTCAATCTCTATCTATCTCATTGATTTCCCTGTAAATCATACCTGTAATAATGTTCCTTATCACTAACCATTTTGAAATCTTGTACTGTTAAAACTTTGCATAATTCCAATGTTGACTTGACATTTAGTGTAGAAGAATGAATAAAAATCGGTCTAATAACGATCGAAACTGCGTTTGAAGACTTAATTCCAGAAATCTGTACAATTAATAGTTAGGAAGGATAATCAGAATTACTGGGATTTTTAATCAACAAATGTGAATACCAAGAAATATTTATTCATATAAATATGCATAAGAAGATTCCTCCATGCCGAATAAAGTGAAAATAATTTGCTTTTGTATTTAGAATTCAGTGATGATATAGTATACAACATTCTGAAGCGTAGATTATTGAAAACTGTCAAGGTCACACTATACTCTGCGGTTATATGAATTAATTACCATATTCATGCAACAATGAACGCATTTGGGAAGGATTAACTGGTTCTGGTGACTGATCCAACTGGCAGTTATCAATTAAATCACCTTTGGGCAGTTAGGACTTGTTAAGCGTTGACGCGAATACTTTCTAAGATAGCTCAGCGATGATGAATATTAATCAGTCATAAGTTTCATCCCAAAACGTTTCCTTCACATAAGATATTGATTTTTATAGGATTCATTTAATGCATTTTACGGATTTCAGAATAAACTTGCAAAATTTGTATTGCTGAAACTTAAGTACCAGGGAATCAACAGCTATAAGATGATGCCAAATGATTCACTTTGGAAAACTTAGTAACCTCTTTCAAGGGAAGATAGGTGTAAGACAAGGCTGCCGTCTACTATTACCGATGATCTTCCTGATTGTGGACGACTGTATCATGTAACAAACTGTGAGGAGAGAGAAGAGGGGTATACGCTGGACAGATGAAAAGACCTTAGAAGATTTGGATTTCACCGATGATTTATGTCGTGCAACATGCTGCTGAAGCCCTATGTTCCACTAGGAACCCAAGGGACAAATAATAATAATAATAAGTACTAGGGAAATGTAAGTCAAAATAGTAGTCAGAAGCAAGTTTCCCATTCACTTTGTAATGCTTGTCAATAGGTAACGTTTTAATTCAGATACCAACTTCCTGTCTTATGTAAATGACGAATATAAAGGTCAAACAAATATACTGAGTAGCGATGCTTGGGATTTCTATTCTTGCATGATTTCATTTGACAAAAGTTTGCCAACATTACACCAGTTGTACCATAAGTATGTCTAGTTTTGACAACATTTGGCCATATCTATCAGTGGTATGCAAGGTTATGTGTTCATTCTCGTTTGGAATTATCACTTGAAGGTACGTGTAGTTCAATGACTGATACTGTTCTTGATCAAAGTGATAAACTGTATACGTCGCTTAACATTCTGTAACGTAATTCACTCAGCTATCACTTTAAGATTGTCGTTCCGTGTTCAGTGAACATCAAACTTGTCAATATGAATTATTTTTGGCTTATAAAACAGAATTCATAAAAAACTTTGAATAACAGCAACAACTGTTATATGTTTGGAAGTAGGTACTGATGTACGTCACTGACCTAGTGGATTTCCTTTTGAAATGTAAAGCTGTTAGAGTTAGTTTTGAGACAGCACACAAATGTCAACGTGTTACCAATCTTAGTATAGCTAACAGATGAGTTCTATATATGGTAACACATTTGTCCTGTGTTCCACTGTTAACTATCGTCAAATATAATGATGACTTGATGACTGACCATACGAAGCCATTTATAGAAGGATCAAACATAGCAGTGTAAGCTGATAATTATATGTATATAAATAAACAGTAGAAATGATCAGTACTCCAATATTCTAGTATTTATTCTTCCATAGATAATAGTTATTGCCTTATATCTTGTATTGACGAAAAATTAAGGTCTCCTATAAACTTGAATAAAATATACTTGGTGTGACTGAGATCTGAACTGAAAACTATTTGTACGAATGTAATTAGTTACAAAATAACATTTCTGTTAGCAGATATTTTGTTGGCGAAATTCACCTTTCATAAGATAAATTTTAGTCATACACGAGATGGTTTCATCATCAGGAACTTTTCATGAAACTTTAGATAATGTTATATTTCACAGGATTTTCACATTTACTCTAATATATGAAATTATTATGATATAGAAATTTTGACATACTTCTCAATTCAATTTATAACCAGTTTAAACAGAAGAAAAAAAACTAGCTAATGGAATGAGAATTGTATACTTCAACTGAAGACAACAAAATAAAAATAATCATGGGTGTTTATGAACATTTACAGTGTCTTTTAAACCAGTGAAAGTAAAGCATTTTAAAGCGTATACAGAATAAATCATAAAAAGGGGATTTTAGGGCTAATAAATATTGTTGATAAGCAGTAGGCAAAAGTAGAAGCTAATGAAAGACAATTACAGAATTCACAAGGTTACTTTATGAGAAGCTCAGTGATGCTTTTGAAGTGAAGACAGGTGTGAAACAAGGTTGCCTACTATCCCCCATGATATTCCTGATTGTGGTGGACTGGATCATGCAGCAAACAGTGGGGAGCGAGAAGAGGGGGATACGCTGGCTGGACTGTGGAAAAGAACCTAGAAGACTTGGATTTCGCCGATGACTTGTGCCTGATGTCACACAAACTTGAAGATCTACAGGCGAAAACTAAAAAGTTGGCAGAAGAGGCGAGGCAGCGAAGACAGGACTTCAGGTGGATATAGAGAAGACAGAGGTGGTGAAGATACTCAACCACCACCAACAACAACAAGAAGCTCCAATCACCATCAATGGGAGAAACTTAAAGGAAGTAACCTCATTCACCTATCCAGGAATCACTGTTTCAACTACAGGCGACACAGGCACAGACGAGGATGTCAAAGTCAGCCAGGATCGGAAAAGCAAGACAGGCATTCATTAACCTGAAACCAGTGTGGAGATGTTCTGCACTCAGCAAAAAGTGTGAACAACATCCGGATTTTCAACACTGATGTCAAGTCAGTGCTTCTGTGTGATGGTTCAGAGACTTGGTGCGTTGCGACAAGCATTTCTAACAAACTATAGATATTCATCAACAGCTGACTAAGCTCACTCGATACTGAAGATCAGATGACCAGAATGATGAGAATAAGCAACAAGGAACTCTGAGGACCAACCCACCTAAGAAGCTATCGCTGAATAAATATGCAGTGGAAGGAAGTGGAGATGGATTCAGCATACACTGAGAAGGCCTACTGGGGACATCATGCGGCAGGCCAGTTGCTTGAGTGGAACCGCAATGGGAGGTGACGAGTTGGGCGTTGGAGGCGAGGAAGACATGGAGGAGATGGTGTGAGGAGGAAATGAGAGGTTGTGGGTTGTCATGGATCCAGGTTCAAAAGATTTCAGGGAAGAGAGTGGAATGGATACGTGCTACTGAAGGTGTATGTTTTATTAGGAACCCAAGGGACTAATAGTAATAATAATAATAAGGTTACTTTATAAACATAGGAACTGAAATTTGTAGTGAGATCAAAAGACATTTATATGGTAGGGTTAAACTGATTTGTATCCTATCATCTTCAGACTTGTAAGGCAGGCTTCCTACATCAGTTATTACATTTCAGAAGTTCTCTATACATCACCAACAGGTCACTCGTACAACTAATGTATTTTTGTTTATAGATAATTACAACCTTTTTTAAAATCTGAAATGTTGATCTTTATGTCAATAATATCAGTTTATATTATATATCACTTCTTTAGTGGAAATCTTAAAGCGTTAACTATTGAATTTGTGAATACAAGGAATCGCTACCTTGTTTATGACATAAGATGAAGTTGTTCACTTTTTAACCTATGCATACTATTGATCAACTTATGACTTAATGAATATCTTCTCAGTTTATACACTAATCAATCAAGCTATTATCCTACATGTAATACTTTCTAGTAAATAGATTTCTAACAGAATATATAATTTTATTCTTAGCTAACAAAATTGCTATACATCTTACCATTAAAAACAAAAATGTTGAGTTTATTCACGAGAATAAGATAATTCAGTGAGTATACATGCTTATGAATGTAGATACAAATATTAAGACATTTTATTCGCTTTTATTCAAATAGATAAAAGTGATTCAATGTTTTAGTGTACTCGCTAATTCTTTCTCTTTCTCTTTTGTTCCATCACCATTATCATTACTAAGAAGTCGATTAAACGAATGATTTTTGTAAGTTTAAGCATTTTACAGAACAAGTAGACAATAGTGGTGTAGGTTGGGAAAACTGATTATTAACAGATATTGTCTGTTTGATAATATGTAAATTATTTTGTTGTTCATGATTATTATGTGAGCAATTATTATTATTATTAATATTTTTTTCATTATTTGAAGATTTAGATGAGAATTCACCAGCTTCTGGTTTACGAAGTATTGAAGAAAGTTTTATTCGTTCCAATTGTTGATAATCTGATATATTATTTGGTGATAATAATATATTAGACTTATTATTGTTATTGTTTGACAAAAGCCAAATTGTTTGTTGAATATTATCACTTATATTATTATTATTATTGGATTCATTGTGTTGTTTATTGTTAAATTCATTATATTTCGGTTTAATTGACTGACATTTAATAGCATAGATTTGATCTGGACTCAATGTGATATGTTCTTCATAGGATGGAGCAGTAATGTGTTGTAATGGTCTATTATTCATAGATTCTGTTATCGTATGTAATTCATCACAAGATTTTGATAAAATTGAATTTCTCTTATCATTTAATTCTATATGAGATTTATCACATACAATTATATCAGTAGATGATTTTTGTGTATCAACTTTAAATGTTGTTGGAATGGTTATAGGTTGAGTGAAATATTTAACGGAACCATATAGTGAGCCAACACTGATAGGTGAAAATCTTTGAGTAGTAACTTCTAGTGAATGTGTAGTTGATGGATAAAGTTGATGACATTGAGCGTTTCCAGAATCAATTCCAAATGAATTAGATGAATTTTGAGTAAAATATTTGCTAGTTTGACAATTTGAATGATGCTAAGAATATATGTAAAACAAAATATAGTTACCACATAGTTTTTTAAAAAATTGTCTCCTAAGTTTGGTTATTTGATTAGATTTACCATATACTAATCATCATTTTTTTACTACTTGTGAGTCTGAAATATGTATCCCACTTAGAAAACTCATATTCTGTCTAAGTACCAAACAAACTCCGCTTATTGTTTCATTTAAGGACACCTATTCTCAGTTATTTATGTAAGTTGACCTGCATACACGACGTCATCTTCTCATAGTAACTAATAACATATTTTAGTCCTAATTTTTATTGGAATCCACAATTCAAGGTGCATATCTACAATAGTAGGCGTCGTATCACCGCTATCAAAATAATTTCATATCTAATTTACGTAAATCAGATATTACTTTGAGGCAAGGATGAATGGTTGGTCCTGAAGTATATAGCTTGAAATATATGATATGAAACGACTGATAAAAAGTAATCAGTACCATTAATTGCAATTTCATGGGTAATAGTTGTAACTATTAACTGGATGGAGGCAATTGGCAAGACGCCTTAGTTCTAGATTTCACCCTTTTTGACACTCATCAACAAGGCGTATCTGCCTCCTCAACTGAACCGACGTCATGTCTGAGGTTCAGACCCACCTATTGTTACAATCAGAAACCTTATCGCTGGGCTATTCGGGATGCAATTGATCTCCTGTAACTGCTTTGAGCTCAGAAAAAGGGTGTTTTAACCGTATTTTAATCCAAAGAGAAATTTTAAGTGATGACATCTATACTTGATAATCGATCTTCAACTTCAGGGGGGAATTAGTGAAGATGACAGTAAGGATAGATATTATTGAAGGCTATCATAGATCAGTGTTCAGTTTTATCTAAACAAAATTCTCTGAGTTATTTTTATCAAAAAGGACGTTTATTTTCTCATGAAGATTTGAACAATCAGAAAAACAACGACTAGAATTATCTGCATTACACATTAACAGATTTCATGAAAACAAAAGTTTACTGGCTATCAGAATAAAACCTTCAATTACTGTCTAGCCAATATCTCATATAGAAGCTCAGCTAGTAGTAAAATAAGCCAGTAATAAATGACTTCATCACAACTTGCTCAAGTACTGGTAAATTTAGCAAAAATCTTCTACACAATGCATTAGCTTTTCATTTCGCTTTTTCCATCATAAATCCATCCTTCTATCCATTAAGTGTGTAGATTTTGACATTGTGTTAATAACTAGAGTATAGCATAATGATCTATATAGGATTGAAATAGTTGCACACAGAAATATCTTTATTTATTTGACCTTGATTGTTCTAAATTTTGTCAGCCAGAAGCTAGTTTATTGCTTCCGTGTAGAACGACCGTGATACTGTTTTTTTTAATATTATTTCAGCATTGAACACTTATCAAACAAGAGTCTTAACGAGACGTTGACATACCAGCAGAGACTATTCAGTGAAGGTCCTGATAAGTAACAGAGGGAAGCCTTAAGCTCATTGGTGTGCAGATTAACACTCTGGAATTTGAAGTGATGACTAGGTGGTTTCAACCTTAGTCAAAAACCGCATCCTTGATTTGAATTTGGGTGTTTTGCATGAAATGAATGTTAAATAAGATTAAATGCATATCTTACATTTCACTGTGTCACTATTAAAACAACACACATGTAACGTTTGTTTATTTTAATAAAAAGTAGAGAAATGATGACTCAAAGATAACCAACCACCTTTTTGGGACATAAATATTAACAATAGATTTCTTTAACAGGGAAATACAAAATATTCACACCTATAAAATGCAGCTAGGCCAAGGTAATGTTAATCAGCTATTCTTAATCTGTAGGGGTGTTATTTATTTTGATAGAAAAATATATTGTCTAAAAGCTTCATATCTTACCTCAACAAATTTTCCTGATCCCATATTTAATGTGTAATCAGTATTCGGATATGACGTCATATTCCACACAGATACTCCAGGATGTTCTGATTCTGTATCACCGTTTTTCTGCAAACACACTTAAATAATAAAAAAATAAATAAATAACATAAGTTATTATTTGTGGTGATCTGGAGCACTCCTGTTTACTGCTGCGTATGGACTCATTGTTACCTATACAAAGCTTTTGCATATGACGTATAGATTAGTTATTCTGTGTCATCATGAAACATTTAAGGTTGTTGATACTGGCTGTTAGTGTATCATTAAGCATCATTTGAGCCTGTTCTAAATGCAGGCAGATATACACATTGCAACAGCTGGAATAAGTATATGTCATTTCAAGTTGTGATACTTCAAATCAGCACATCAAATATTGATGAATTTCTACACTTGGATATATATAAGAGGGAATAGAATTCTTATCATGTTTCTTGCTCACCGCAGACGACATATCTGCAGCTTTAATCGCTTAGTTGAAGAAGACGACGACGAAGTGATGTTTTTTTAAAACGTTTTGGCTGAAAACGCATATCCAGCATGAATTTTGCACAAAATGTACTATAGAAACTGTGAAGAAAGTTAGGCATTTTGTCTCCAAGTAAGATACTATCCATGAATCTTGTCTTCAAGAATCACTTCACTGTTGATATCTTAGAAATTAGAATTCAAACTTGTTTTCCCGTCGTCCAACGATTTCTGGATAAAATTCAACATCTGACCACATCCACGTGAGTTTATCAATTCATCTCTTTCTGTTGAGGCAGATATATTAATATTTCGGTGCATCCTCTACCCAAATAGCTTAGAGAACAAAAGGGTATGGATGTATTCGTCACAAGTGCAATAGTTGGGCAGCTTGTCACCACCGCCTACAGCATTCAAAGTCACCTACAAGGTTTAATGCATAAAGTGACTTTTATAAATTTCTCGGGTGATGAGCTAACATGAGTTCATAAATTGGCCCACCAACTTTACCTGATGCTTCATAATTAGTTTCTTCAATGTCGAGTATTGATAGACTTTTAAATAGTCCAACGGAGCCTCACAGCTATGTATCGATATATAAAGGTCTGCGTCATTCAAATTGTCTTTTTGGAAATCAATTCTAGATAATAACATAGGAATGGTTGTCTTCAACTCACAACTTTATGAAAGTCAAGAAGTACGTTGAAGGTATAAGTGAAAGCTTTTTATCCAATAATAAACCACTTTAAAAAGGTACAAAGTCTCATCAGGTAGAAAGAAAATGAACGAAATTATAACTGGTTAGTGTTATCCGTGCTTTGGGGTTTGTTGTTGGGCATCCTATCATTATGCTAGATAAGTTCATCAACATTTACTTCATATAGAAGGGAGGTACTATAAAGTTGCATGAATATTCGTAGAGAATATTTACCGACCTTCAGCGTTATCCGCTTGTGGGTAAGGGTGACCTATCCTTTTTCATCAGATGTTAACCTTTGTGACTGAACTTGTCACTTGATCTATGCTGTTGACCAGGTGTCTGATTATCGATTTGTTCGACTGATTCCCAGTTAGCTGGATCCTTCTGTATATCGGGTCAAAGTTCAAGTGTCTGCTGATTGCCACTTGAATAGAGTACTATGCTTCTGGGTATCCACTTGTAGTTTCCGGACTTGCATGTTATGATATTCCACTTTGTCCTAATCAAATTTGTCGCTGATTTCATCTGCTTGCATCGATATCAATGATGATGCATTGTATTGTTTGACTGAGAGTTGGTGTTCATGAATTATTTGGCCTATTTGACAACTAGATGGACCAACATGGTAATATTGATAGTGTTTACAACTAATGTTGTAGGTTGTATACATCGTATCTTCTTAGGATATTGGATCCTTCAGTTTGCATAAGATAGTTTGTGTACGATTGTCGAGGGATCTTCGATTTGTTGCAAATTGGTTCATTTTTTAGATTGAGGTAGTTGTCCTCGTGTATGTTCTCTGAATAATTATTTCGTTATGAAGTTGATTAGATAGTTAGAGACTCTAAACACCCTATAAAAGTGGTTTAATTCCAACTTCTGCATTTGTTGAATACTGTACTAAGTCTTGGAATACCCAACTAGTGATTGTATACAACTCATAATCAAAAGTTAGGTTCTTTTTTATGGTTCATAATGTGATCTGTGTATACCGTCTTTCTGCACACTTGAGTTCCCAAACTTCCACTGAATGTATTAATCACAGGCGTCTAGGAAACCGGTGCTCCTATTATCTTCTTCCTTTTCTTTGTAGATTGAATACCTTCATACCTTTAGTTGATGAGATTGGATGTGTTTTATCATTCTCTTTTTTTGAGAAGTACTAGAGTTCCGTTGACATAGCGAATTTCAAAATATGAGTTTAAATATTGGGTGTGACCATTGTTTCCAGCCTCTGTACCACTGCTTGAGGCATCAGTCTGCATATCGATGAGCAAACACCACTTCCTTTAAATTGTTCGTATATGTTTCTGTTTAACTGTAAGTTTGCAGTGGTAATTTTAGTATACTTTTGGGAATTTCGGTTATCGTTGAGATACTGGTTGTTTCTTTGGTGAGATCTGAGTAAGCTGACATGATTAGTGCATATGCATCAAGAGTCACCACTTTTTTCGTTGTTGTTGTTGTTTTTCTGAGGTTCTTTTATCCCTCATAGGAAGTGAGTTACTGAATTGACCGAGTGTTGACGTCTATCAACAAGATGTTTTGATTTTAGTAAAATTCTTAGGATAAATTGAATGCTGCTTTTCCCCAAAGTTACACAATTGGTTACAGTCGAATATCTGCCTTGTGTAGATATCGTTGACCTCAGAATCTAGGCAGAAGTGAATCATTCATTTTCATTTGCCATTTCTTTTCACTTGACATCTGCTCTGCATCGGCTAGATGGTATAATTTTCCTTCGATTTGTTTGTCGAGTGGTTTGATAAAATCCTTGGTAAGTGCTGTCATCACTGAGTACTTCTTGTTCGATACTTTACGTAACGTGTTTTATTCATAATAATGATTTTCATTTCCTTTTTTGCTGGTATTGGTTCAGTTTTCTTGTCTGCAACCTGTGAACTCAGTGCCTTCTTTTCATATGTATTGAGTTGCTGCTACTTTTCCTCAATTTTCACCAGTGTCACAAATAGTTACTGTAATTTTTTGTCTATCAGCTAATTGTACATATCACAATTATTTAGGAAGCAAGTGCTAATGAAGTCACCTTGCCTGGTGGTGAAACATCCTGTGACAAACGTTACAGTTCAGAGGACATCAAACAGTAATCATTGTCATCCTGAGCTACAAATCGTCTCTATCATCTCAAACAGAATTATATAAACAATCAGGGAATTTGGATATGGCTATGCCCGCAAATACTGTTTACTTCCAAACACACCAGTTAATACATTGATTAGTCACTGGAGAGCAGTCAGTTTCTTGTTGTCCATTCCTGAAAGCCAATTGATTTCTGTCAGCTATTTCGCATCGTGACTACCAAGCTGAGAGGCTTACCATCGCGATGGTAATTAGTTGGAGGTGGTCAGCAGGAAGCTTTGTATGACCTAGCTTACATGTTTGCTGCCAGTCGTCACCGACCATGAGGGAGCTGAAATACCTTGTGATATAAGAACTCATATAGCCTAATATTACAGTTGGCGACGCTACTACTGAGCTATTTGGGCGATGACTGATTCCCTATAGGTCTAGGCTGAATGCTTTATTTGGTTACTTAATGACAAGGAATTCTGAATGACGGACGGGAAACCATTTCCATGAAGGTTGTAGAAACACCATGCTCACAAGTGCCAACAAGCATGACACCTGATTCCAAGGCTTCATACCAATTTATCTCCAACTGACTTACACAGAAGCCAGTAATAGGAGGATTTGCTACTTCTATGTGAGTTCACCAGTGGCTGAAAAATCTCAGTTACTTACTGGTGTTCACTGAGTACACCTAAAGTGCATTGCTCATGTTTTACTTAAATACTGATCAGTATTTTATTACGATCGTATTCTTTTATATATTGAGTATAATAAGTCATTGTTAATACATTAATTTCGGACACCATATTTTTAGTTATGATTAGGTTGAAGAAAACATCTCAAAAACTTTGAAACCAAATCCATCGATATGATCACTGAAAAATCAGACAAATAAATACGTGCAAGGTTATGTAAGGATAACTTTCCTTTGGTTTCATATAATTCTGTTATGTTATTGAATACTTCTCAGTAGTTAGACTTGTCAGAAAGTACTATTGTCATTGACAATGTGATTAGTTGCATAGATTTCTGTTGTTAGAAACCAAATATCACTATTAATCATATTTTTTATTCGAAATCGTGTAAATAATTTGTTTGAGACCATCAGAGTTTTCTATTAGGAGCAAAATGTGTACAACACAAACAATACTGTACAATTTTACTTGATATTTGGGTGAATAACACTCTCTAATGACTGTTGTAGCAACTACTGAAATAATCAGCTAAGTCTAAGCTAATCATGGGATCACTGGATCACTGGATGAACTTGAATGTTTCTCCATCTACCGAGGTTGTATAGGTTGCATTATAAACCTTTCGTATACATATAAATCTGAGTAACTTCCATGGACTTGTACATGGTTACCGAGTTGTTTTTTCAAGTACATTTATCACGCGTCTGAGGTTCTCTTTCTTGTTTACTTGATCATGTGGAGCCGATTACATCGACCGTACTATGTTCCACTTTATGCTACGTGCCCATGAACGCTATCCAACTTGGCTTACAGGAAGAAAACGAAAATGTATTTTCAGCTCTTTAACAAAACACTAAGGAAACTCAAGACATTTGTCTTCCTTTGATAAGTCCTTCAAACTTCTGTACAAAGTGCTACCAAGTCACTCGAAAGGAATAAGGCTAAGACATTTGGGCATAGCTGATACAGTGGTGATTCAAAAATTCAAACCATCATTTTGTGCTCACAAGGAGTATATACGACCTCTTTCTTTGCCTTGGCCATCGTAGGTTATCGATCCTTCTAAATAACGCAAATATGGTGTAATCATCTTTATTTCTATTGTATGACCATTTCGCTTATTTCTCCGCCACGTAACTTTCCTTTGTTATGCAATCTACATTGATACTTGACCAGAAATTACTCTGGGATGTTCTATCTTTTTTACTTTATATTCACGAATATTCAGCTAAGAGAATGATTTCATCGGGAAGAAAAAATGTTTCTTCGCTGAAACTGTCTGACTTCTCCCTTCGTGTTTTCTTCATTCTTTACAAAAATATCTTCTTCACTCTGTCGTCTACAGTACATGATGTTAAGTGGATTCGCTTGAAGCCTACTTCCATCTTACTTTTATAACAAGGCTGTTGTTGATGGATGTCATGCTAAGACAGTACTGTGAAAATTCTCTTCATTTCTGTTGACAGTAATGATGGATAGTGGCTAGCCGGAGGATCCAGGATGCGCATCTCATTCTAGCAGTGGCTAGGTGGTCTAGTGGATAACACTTTGGCATTTGAACTGATCAGTCCCAAGTTCGAATCCCGGTGGGAACAATATCACTCGCTGGGAGGCAGTTACATCCAGCTGACGAGTCCTAAGTAGGACGAAATGAGCATCCTGGATTCTACTGCTAGTTATTATCCATCATCACTGCATAATTAAAAATCACAGGCATCATCGAGATATCCACACAGGAGCCTATATGCCAATAGAGACCGTTCAATTGGGTCAAACAACGGCGGTATAATACAAGCAATAACACTATTTCTGCTGATAGTATGGTGTGTAGCAGATAATTGCAAAAGACAAAGCCCGTGGTGAATGAGTTCAGTAATACAACTAACAATGTGTTCATCAGAAATTAGTTTTAAGTAAATATGTAGTGAGAAGTTGAACAATTAGAGGTAAATAAGTAATTTATTATTGAGTTCATAAATGTTATTCAAGTTGTTAGAATTTTAATAAATTTTTACATTTAAATCAATTTTCTCAGCATGTGATTAACTCGTATGATGTACCCTGAAAGTAATTTAACATTCTTACCTATTGGATTTATGCATTTGATTTATAACACACAGTGATACAGCAGTATTTGCCATCTGCAGAAAACCGATACATTCTCACAGGTATCTAGATTTCAAGTAAATGTTAGTTGGTTGGAGGCAGTCGGCAGAAAGCCCTGGACCTCCCTCGACCAATCAATACATGTAAGCCAGTCCTACAGGAGGTGAATCGCAGCCTGAATAGCTCAGTGGTAAAGTCGCTGACTACAATACTGGGTGACGTGGGTTCGAATCTCAGGCGGGACATCAATTCCGTAGAAGTTGCAGATACGCCTTGCTGATGAGTGCCAAAAAGCATGAAACCTAAGTCCAGGACTTCCTACTGATTGCTTACAATCAACTAACATCTACTAAAGTGCACCGCGATGCTGAGCTTCCTAGCTTGGTTGCCACATTGCAAATATGATCGATAGGATTTTGTCTGCACTCAGGACTAGACAACATGAAATTGGTTGCACTCCATGACCAATCAATACAGACTTCAAGTAATCTCCTCCAATATCAATTAAGGCAGACTTAGTCAATTGTCTCAGTGACAGAGCTAGAAAACTGACTAGTCAGTGCAAAGACTTAAACAAAGAAGCGAAGTACACAAAAGAAGAGTTAGTAGTTCATAACTGTCCTATTCGGTTTATTAAAAAATTAGTACGAACACACAACAAACGAAATAATTATAGTAACGCGGGCACAAATAATAACGACAACAAGAGTAGAAAAGAGTTCACAACTTCTATAGTGTTACCCTATAAGTAAGGAGTATCAGAAACGTATGTTTCTCAACAAAGCTGGAATTAGGGTAACATTTAAACACACAAACACTCAGAGATAAGCTTTATCGGCTTAAGGATCCGACAGAACCAATTAAGTGAAATCCCATGTTATGACTGCGAGGTCAAATACATACGTGAAACTATCCCGTTAGGCACAACATAGGAATTCAGCTAAGCGTAGAATGACAGACCCCAATAAGATCAACTATCTCGAAAAACGCTCGGCTATTACGATACACGCATTAACACACAATAACATAATAGGATGGGATAAAACCACTTTAATAAAATTAGTTGGAGAGATTGGTTGCTTACTGAAGCTTTGTTCATCGGATCAACACCCAGCCGACACATGTAACAGGAGTGACACAACACTTTTACCAGATACATGGAGAATTTATTACCATTACAAACAAAGTAAATGAGGTGGTTGGACTATAAAAACGAGATATCGAAAGTAGTGTGATTACATTGATATGATTATGAGCAATAATTTATGCTCGAAATGTCATCAAGTAAGTAATACTGTATCACTGTGTGTTATAAATCAGACACACAAATCTAATATGGAATTACATCCTCCCACAGTGCCCAAGTTTTACACCTATATTAATTCTTACATTTTGCTTTACTAAAGGAGTTTAACAATAGATGATGTTTCGATAGAGTTTTATGACTTATAAACAAAAACTTCTATTAGCGATATTGTCAGGAAAAGCTTGTTAGTATTGTGAACATGCATAAAGTGGGTACAGAATGAATGTTTATTCATTCCTGTACATATAAATCATAAATTTATTTCCCTAAACAAAGTGTCTGTATCAAAATATGCAGCTCATGTTATAAACGAAGTAATACAAGGGGAAAACTGTTCTGATTTTATTTCCTTCTCTGTAATATTCTCTGTCTCATTTCTCAAATTATCTCCTGACGTTGTTAAGTGTAAGAGAATTAGAATGGTGGACAGGTCATAAAATACTTCAAAGCTTAATAACTTTTGATCTAAAGAATTAAGTCATTTACAGTTACACATGTCACTATTAGTTTATTGTTTATCATGGAAGACTATCGAAAACTGATAGCATTATGGTATGCAGGTTAGTTCACTTAGTTCATAGCTACATTTTGTCGACTAAAACAGACATGATATAATCTTATTTGACAATAAAATAAAACAAATATCATAAACTGTTAACAATGCAACACAAAATAGTATAATTTTCAAATGATAGAAAACGTTGTAGTTCAAAATAAGGATGAATATAGTGGTTATATGTTCTCTGAACTCTAATATCTTGTCGTAGACGCTTCATCACCAGGCTTAGTGATATCCTTAGCATTAACTTCAAGAAGGAGTGGAATATATTCAAATGATACACGAATGTTTTGGCAGAGTGCCTACTGACCTTGAGTGTTGTTCAGTTGTTAGCCGAGGAACAGACTATTATTGGATTTTGACCTCTTCGACCTAACAGTTCATTCAGTCACACTGGTAGAGGGTCCTTGTTAGCATGGAGTTTTGCAACTTTTTACTGTCACAGTGTGCTTCATCGTTGATATGATCAGTCTGTACATTATTGGTGGATAGCCGTTTCCCTTCTACATAGATTCCACGTATATGTTGACTGACGTTTTGTTATCTGAAATGTAGCATATACTGGAGGTGGAGAATGGCTAGCAGAGTAGCCTAGGATGTGCATTTCATCTTATCGTTAGCGACATGCACTTGCCTTTCAGTGAGTGGATGGTCTTACCATCGTGACCTAAAATCAGCGACCATCCTTCGTTATTTGCAACATGAAATCACTACTTGTATCATGGCATCCATATAGGAGCTCATATGTTTACAAAGGTTATTTGATTTGGTTTAAACCAATCAAAAGTGGGAAATAAAACATTCCAATATAAAACAGATTGGACCTATAGAACACAAAGTTTTGTATCGGCTGTTTATGTATCTTTGGATATGCGATAAACAAATTCACTCTAAGATATTTTGACTCCTATATTTTTCAATAATCATTTAATAAATGAACAGCGAATGCTCAACTTAGTCATATATATATATATATATATATATATATATATATATATATATATATATATATATATATATATATCTTTGGTATGTAACTTACCTGGAACTTCGTTACTAGAACTGGGTACAATCCGTTTCATAGCAATTACTGCACCAATTAATAAGAGACAAAGAAGTCCAGCCACAGAGATTAAGACGGCTACAATAGTCATTGTGCTTAAACTAAATCGATATGAAGACTCATCTAATAATTCATTTGATTGATATGACTGATACTGATGAATATTATCAGAGATTTTATTGCTATACTGATTATCAATATTCAGTTCTTTTTTATCCTTTGCTGTTAAGCGTACTGGTTGAAGCCATTTCGCTGACTGTATATTACTAGGTAATAGTGATAATGAGTCAGATTCTATATTGTTAGGCATATTTATCTGTGGTTCAACTGTTGAAATGTGTTCATTAACAACATGCATACGAATAGCATAACGTCGTTTCAATGATTTTGTTAGATCTGTGGGACGATCTTGTACTATAATGTGCATAGTATGTTGACCTATAGGTGGATCTTCTTTACCTATCTTACATATAAGTGTATGATCTAATCGAAATTCAAAGTAAGGATTGTTCTCAAGAGAAATATCAATTTGAGCATTTTCTTTTTCATCAGCATCTGTAAAGTAGTATGGGAATTCTATACATGAATTGAAAGGATCTTTAATGTTTAAATTATATTTTAAATCGATTATTGAAGGTTGTTGAAATTGTTTTGTTTGTTGAAGTGAGCCTCCTTCATCTGTATTGTATTGCAGTGTTTCACCATGTCGAAGTATAACTGGTGCATTATCATTCTGATCAATTATATTGATAGTAACACTTGCTTCATCATAGAATATTGTTCTATTTAAATCACCTGTTGAAAATTTCGCTTTTGGTTTTTCATTACGAGCAATAATAATAAAAGGGATTTGTTGTATTTCTTCACGATCTAAAATTTTTCGCGTACGAAGTATCCCAGTTTGACTTGATCAAAGAAAAAATTTAGAAAATATTTTATGATTAATGAGTACTCTGCATAAAAATATGTACAACTTCTATGGAAACAAACTATTGGACTCATAGTTTATTCTTGACATCGCTAGTCAGAAAGGAATATCTACTACAATGAGGCGAATGATTGACTGACTTCATTGATATACTTAACCCCGCTAGTTTAGGTCAATCAGCTAAGCCTATATTATATTTTATATATTATTTATCCCTTGGGTTCCTAATGGAACATACACCTTCACTAGCACGTCTCCACTCCACTCTCTTCTCTGAAATCTTTCGAACCTGGATCCACGACACCCCACAACCTGTCGTTTCCTCCTAACACGATCTCCTCCATGTCATCCTCGCCTCCAATGCCCGACTCGTCACTTCCCATCTGGGTTCCACTCGACGGCCTGGCCTGCCGCATGATGTCCCCAGTAGGCCTTCTCAGTGTATGCCCAATCCAAGCTCCATTTCCTTCCAGTCCATATTTGTTGAGTGATAGGTTCTTGGTTGGTTAGTTCCCAGAGTTCCTTGTTGCTTATTCTCATCATTCTGGTCATCTGATCTTCAGTATCGAGTGAGCGTAGACAGCTGTTGATGAATATCTATAGTTTGTTGGAAATGCTTTTCGCAACGCACCAAGTCTCTCAACCATCACACAGAAGCACTGACTTGACATCGGTGTTGAAAATCCGGATGTTGTTCACACTTTTTGCTGAGTGCAGAACATCTCCACACTTTTTTCAGGTTAATGAAAGCCTGTCTTGTTGTCTTTCCGAATCTGACTTTGACATCCTCGTCTGTGCCTGTGTCGCTTGTAGTTGAAACAGTGCTTCCTGGATAGGTGAATGAGGTTACTTCCTTTAAGTTTCTCCCATTGATGGTGATTGGAGCTTCTTGTTGTTGTTGAAGTTATTGGTGCTGTATCTTCATCGCCTCTGTCTTCTCTACCTTCATTGAAGTCTCGCCTTCACTGCCTCGTCTCTTCTGCCAACTTGTTAGTTTTCGCCTGTAGATCTTCAAGTTTGTGTGACATTAGACACAAGTCATCGGCAAAATCCGAATCTCCTAGGTTCTTTTCACCAGTCCAGCCAGCGTATCCACCTCTTCTCACTCCCCACTGTTTGTTGCATGATCCAGTTGACCACAGTCAGCAGCCTTGTTTCACTTCTGTCTTCACTTCAAAAGCATCACGGAGCTTTCCAGCTAAGCCTACATTAATGGATTAATGTACATTGACTGGCGTCAGTACACTTATTATTATTATTTAACTTCATAAAAATATAAAAATTTACTTTTGAATTCTTTTCATGACTGAAAAAACAATTTAACCTCATTAGAAGTCTCTGACGTTCAAACATAATATTAAAACGCATTTTTGAGATGAATGGGGATTTTTATTTCAGAGGTAATATTCAGTTGTCCAGTTCTCTTAGATTTTCAGTTGTTCCCCAACTCATGTCCATGATGAATACTACCTCTAAATTAAAAATTTCCATTCATCTCAATAATGCATAACTGTATAGTGCTCATTAGTGACTTGCTTCCAGATGGCTCTCATGAAGTTCTAATGAGAAGCCATGACTTGTGGGGTCAACCAGTCAGAAGTGAAGTGGATGCTAACTGAAGACCTTTGGTGATAGTCACGCTATCGACAGAAGCTGGAAATTGTGAACCACTGAGAACCGACACAGTGGCTAAATGGTTGTCGCGTTCGCCGTGGAACCTGAAGGTACCGAGTTTGATCCCCGGCCAGGTCATGGTGCGCACTGCTGAGGAATTCCATAGTAGGACAAAACAGCTTCCCAGTGCTCCTAGATTCTCAATGGTTCCCCAAATAATGTCAGTCCACGATGAATACTACCTCTAAAATATATCATAAATCTTGTATAGAGTGATTCTGAAACGGAATCTTGGTATTTGCCAAAGCAGATTTTAATGATAGTAAAGTTGAATATGACTCCTATATCGTATCTAAATTGACATTGGTTTAGGCGATAAGCTTAAATACAGTAAGTGAATCAATTTTTAATAGAATTCAGCACGGGATTATTATGAACTTGATAAGATATTTCACGTAGATCTAGATTGTCAAAATCAATGATCTCGGGGAAATTTTATTTAAGGGAGATGATTTCGAATAAGATTTAGGTTTGACGGTACTGCAATTCGGCTTAAAAATGTATAATGCATATTCGGTTTAGCAATAAAATTCATATAAATAAACAGTCACTTAAGTAGAGAGAAAAAGTGTATACATGATAGCAGAGTTGAACAAGTGTAGATAATCTGATGACGGCTGGTTTTAAATCGAAACAGATATCAGGATAGAAGTGTATACATTTGATAAATTCCGAAGATATGTTTTGACAGTGAGGTCTTTCAACACTGAGTGCTTCAGAATCTACCGACAGCAAGTCAGGTCACGTCAGGGTAGTAGTAGTAGTGTGAGTAGTAGCAGTAGTGTGAATAGTAGTAGTAGTGTGAGTAGCAGCAGAGTAGCAGTGTAAGTAGTAGTAGTGGTGTGAGTAGTAGTAGTAGTAGTAGGACTTGTAATAGCAATGACTGTACAAGTTTCTGTCTTAAACATTCATGAAAGGCTTATCAAATCACCTTTTTTTATCCAACTGACCCAATAAAAAGAGCTCGTATGCTGTTTTAAAGTATGCAACCAGAAATTATTGATAATACTCTTATACTACTGAATATCTATAGAAATATGTATATGAACGTATGTTTAGCGAACGGAATAATCAGCTAGCATTACATTCTCTCCTGGAGTATTTCTATTTAATGGCTTAACTGATTAATATAATCAGGTTTCTCCAATCCGTGTACAACCAAATTAATTTCTGAAACCTCTTCTTGAATTCAAAAATGCGAAACGATCATTTACAATCAGGGAAAATTCATCAAAAACACTGGTTACATTATCTACCAAACTGATTGAACCATCAAGTGATACTCAACTGAAGTTTGTAATAGAAAAAGTGTTTTGATGAAGCATCAAATCATCTTTAAGCAAATTCAGTGTATGCTCAGTTTTAATATCTTAGAAATCAGTATATGTTTAATATGAATTTATTTTGTACACGAAATATTAATCAGCTGCTTGTTTATATGGAAATTATCTTACGATGACTAGACAACTTATTTTCTCTGCTGCATGTTGCAAATAAATCGACTAAAATGTGCATTGAATCTAATAATCAATAGAACAGTATTATAAAAAAGTGATATTTTGGTAACTAAAAATCTTGAAACTCATTAAAGCTACTGTCTGTAACCTAGAGTTGATTAGATTATCTCCATTTTAGGGACTACAAAATGCATCGCTTCTCAATGATTTGAAACAGTTAGTCCCTTTAATGAATTTCGATAGCTTAATCAGAAGACGAAGTTTATCTGAGCAATGTGATGTATTTGCGCAATATATTTCGAACAATCTGATCACACATTTGCTTGTCAAGTCAATATATATTAAACCGAGGACTGGGAAGGGGGATAAATACAACAATTAACACAAGCAGGGGAATAAAATTAAGAAAGATGAGGACAAACAGGAAGTGACATAGTTGGTCCTAATCTTGGTAAGAAAACAAAGTTTACCAAGGTAGGTGTAGTGTAATAACAAACTGTTTTTGTACACATAAAAGTGGTTTAAATTTGTGTATGGCTATGGCTTCCGCAACTCTCTGAATACGTCCCTAACTGTTTCTATATAAGACTTTGAAAGCTGTCTAAACATAAACTTTGTGACCTGTTTCTATGATATGTTTAGCTATAGATGAAGAGGGTCGTCTCCCACCAGCGTTTATCACTGTTTCACACTCCATTTGTTTTTGAAGCCATTTAGGCACATGTTCTCCCACCCTCAACTGCATGACTCGATTACTCCTCCTTATGTATGTGTGACCACACACACATGTAAGTTAGTAAACACAATGGGATGTGACGTAATCACTGGTGCATTGTTCATGTTTTTGATGAAGCATGTGTTTTGTTTTCTCCACAATGGTTACAACGGTTTATAAACTTCATCGGATATCCATTTTCCATAAGTGCTTTGCTCAGTAATTTGATGTCTTCATCCATCGCATCTGGTGTACTGATACGATAGATCTTATTAAACAGGCATTTTACTAGACCTCGCTTGTATTGGATTGGACAAAAACTGTGAAAATTCAGGTATTGTCCTGTCCATGTAGGCTTTCTGTAAACTGACCGTCTTATTGAACCGTCTTCTCGTCGACTGAGAAGTATATCTAGGAATGGCAGTTGATTACTATTCTCTTTCTCATATGTCAGGCTGATGTGTGTTTGTACGGCGTTAAGTATATTTAGTAGACAAGCCATGTCCTCATGCGTCTCACAAATCACTATGATGTCATCAACATATCTCTTGTAAAGAGGAACTTTAGCGATGAGATCACCAGCCAAATTTTCAATCTATGACATAAATATCAGCTAGTAGTGGTCCTAATGGACTACCCATAGCTACAACGTCGACTTGTCGAAAGAGTTCACCTTCAAACGTGAAGTGGACTTTGTCGGTACACAGCAATAATAACTCCTTCAGAAAGGTTGGAGTAATAGGAAATGGGAGGTTTTTTAAAGGATATATAGTCACAGAGAATGCTAATAGTCTTGGACAATGGCATGTTAGTAAATAAGGAATTTACATCGAAAGAGTACATAATCTTGTTTTTTATATTCATGTTACTAAGACAGTCAACAATTTAAAAAGAATCAATGAAAACTTACAGAATTCGTTTCGAACTGGGTTTAACATTTTTACCAACCATTTCTCCAGTTTATGTGTGGGGAACGACACATAGACCATATAGGGCGTACGGGATTATTAGCTTTATGAATCTTAGGTAATCCATATAAATTTGGAAATTCAGATCCCATAGGTTTCAATGAATTAAATTCCTCTTTGTTAATGGCATCCATATTCAAAAGTTTTACTAAGTGAGTGGTTACTTTTGCTTCCAATTTTCTAATATCTTCTGATGGGACATCGGCTATGAATTTGCTATAGTCGCTGAGGATGGATAACATTTTATTTTTATAGTCAGATTTATTCATCACAACGATACATGATCCCTTATCGGGTTAAAGAATGATTATATCCTATCTGTTCCGTAATTCTCTCAAGGATTTGAAGAGCTGTGAACTCAAAATGCTTCTTTGTCTTGTTTCTGAACTATGGTGAAACATTTTCGAATAAAATTGTTAGACTAAGCAGACTGATATCTTAGACCAATTTTTCGACAACTAAATTCATTTGATTAGTAATGATTTTTGTTATTGTCACCACTAACAGTTAAGTATCTGCTCAACTTTTAGGTTTATATGATGCTTGGATTGAGCATACACTGAGAAGGTCGATGGTAGACATCACGTGCCAGGCCCTCGAGTTGAATCCAAAGAAGAAACGACGAGTTGAGCGTCCGAGTTGAGGATGACATGGAGGAGATCGTGTGAGGGAGAAATGAGAGCTTGTGGGCAGTTGTGGATCGAGGTTGATAAGACTTCAGAGAAGAGAGTGGAATGGAGGCGTGGTACTGAAGCCCTATGTTCCACTGGGAACCCAAAGGACAAATAATTATATATATATATATATATATATATATATATATATATATATATATATATATATATATATAGAAGTCACTTATTTCAACCTCGATCCACAACTGCCCACAAGCTCTCATTTCTCCCTCACACGATCTCCTCCATGTCATCCTCAACTCGGACGCTCAACTCGTCGTTTCTTCTTTGGATTCAACTCGAGGGCCTGGCACGTGATGTCTACCATCGACCTTCTCAGTGTATGCTCAATCCAAGCTCCACTTCCTTCTACATGTTTGTTGTGTCATAGGTTCTTACTTCGTTGGTTCGTTGCCAGACTTCCTTGTTGCTTATTTTCATTATTCTGGCCATCTCATCTTCACTATCGAGTGGGCGTAGGCAGCTGTTGATGAATTTCTGTAGTTTGTTGGAAATGCTTTCCATGACACGTCAAGTCTCTGAACCATTACATAGAAGCACTGACTTGACTGAACTAGTGTTGAAAACCTGGATCTTGTTCTTCATGCTAAGTGCAGTAGATCTCCACACTGATTTCAGATTAATGAAAGCCTATCTTGCTGTCTTTCCGATCCTGACTTTGACACCCCCATCTGTGCCTGTACCGCCACTTGTAGTTGAAACGACGCTGCCGTACCTGATAAGTGAAAAAGACTACTTCCTTTAGGTTTTTCCTGTTGATGGTGATTCGCACATTGTTGGTGTTGTTATTGATATTGTTATTGGGTAACTTCATCACCTCTGTCTTCTCTATATTCACTTGAAGTCTAGTCTTTGCTGCCCTGCGTCTTCTGTCAACTTATTAGTTTTCACCTGTAGATATTGCAGTTTGTGTAACACTAGACATAAATCCTCATCGGTGAAATCCGAGTTTTCTAGGCTCTTTTCATCGGTCCAGCTAGCATATGCCCATCTTCTCGCTCTTCACAGTTTGTTGCATAATCCACTACAGTCCACTTCAGTTGACCACAATCAAGAAGATCATGGGTGATAGTAGGCGGCAACCTTGTCTCACTCCTCTCTTCACTTCAAAGGCACCTCAGAGCTTCCCATTGTCAATTACTCGACATGTCGCGTTGTCATATAGCTGTTGAGAGAGGTTCATGAAGGTTTGTGGTATTCCATAGTGTTGAAGCAACTGCCTGCCTAATTACTTGTCGGTCGACACTGTCGAAGGCCTCCTCGAAGTCGATGTAGTTGAGGTGAGGTAGACAGATGACTGCCATTCTGTGCTCTATTCTTTGATGATGTGTAGCATGGTGTTGCAATTTGATCCTCACATGATTTGTACTTCCTGAATGCGGCCAGCTAGCTAGCTTATTCTTGTCGTAATTGTGAATCGAGCGCACCGTTTAGTCTCTCCAGGATGATGTGGCATAATATTTTGCTTGGTATAGAGGGGATTGGAGCACGATTCCTCACCAGTTCTTGCAAAAGCTTATGTCTTCCTTGTTTGGCAGTTTGACAAGGTTGCCCTTCTTCCAGTCGCCAGGTACTTTTCCTTCCCTCCAGACCTTCTGCCTTAGTGGTGTGAGTTTATATATATATATATTCGTGATATACGTAATAGAATTGGTGTAAAGTCTTTTTTGTAATTTCGAAATATGCGATTTTGTTTCGATGCCATTAAGATTATCGTACACTGGAAAGCATATACTTTGAGTCCTATTTGTTTTACGTAAGTTTGGTTCTCTAGTGGGCAAATCATGATCAATCTTGATATAGCACAGATATTAGCTATCCAAACTAACCTAAATGTATGTTCCACAGATTTATATCGCTGTTATCATATAAGATGAAGTAATTTCTTTGTTAATTTATCAAAGATGTATAATTATATACAGATAAAAATTAAATTCAACATGCAGAGCTTACGGTTCTATAAAAATCAAATTTGATGCATTTATATTCACTACATCACGAAGTTCATAAGTAATATATCGATTTTCTTTTGCTCGATCTGCATCAGTTGACTTGATTTGACCAACTAATGTGTGACGAGGTAGACCTTCAGAGATATCGAAAATATAATGGCGTTGCTCTAAAACTGGTGGGTTATCATTTTCGTCATCAACCTATATAAAAAAAGGAATATATATATATATATATATATATATATATATATATATATATATTATATATATGTATACTTTCGAAGTTAAATGCGGTCATTGTTTTATAAGGAGGCATCGCCTAACTGTATACTAATTCCATAATTTGAAGATTCCTATTAGATATGTAAAAGCAAGAATTTTTTTGAAAAAAATCTTTAATAACCTGTTGTCAAGCTCCAAAATTATAATTATACAAGTGTTGTGATAAGAGGGTATATATAACGCAAAAAACTAAAATTATTAACTGACACATGTCTCAACTGTAAATCTATTTTAATACAGTTGGTTTTGAGTCGAAAGGGAAGTTGTTGACAATATTTATTGGTTTATTACTTATCATAAATGAGAGTTAGTCACCGAATGTCAACCACAGTAATTTGCCTATCTACATGATTACTCTGGTTAAGTCAAACAAGTAGGGTTCAACTAACACTTTTTCATCGATGAGATAATCTCATCTTTTTAAACTGTAACGTAGAGATTAGATTTTACCAATATTTATTTGTTTTGTCTAGGATAAAGTATTTTGAGCAGACTTCAAGTGGGGGGTTTGACCACAATATCAGAACTCTCTCATTCTTAGTAAAAGCGATACAACTGATGTAGTAGTCTCCTTAAAAGATATATATTACTACTTGTCAGATTTGAAAGTCATAAATGAGTAGATGATAGGCCAGCTCAAATTTTAACTTCTTATTAATGTAAATCATTACTTCTTAAGAACAATTTCATTGCCTTTGGTTCTACCTACATATCTTTGAGAAGTATTAAATGCCTTTTGAATAATGAGGCTACCGTTCAGAGGTGAGCATAACCGATAAAAATGGACATATGTATACACCTGCATAAATTCAAGTTTTTCTTGTGTAAACGGTTGAGGTTTATGATTGATGACCATAAAGAATATGGCATTGAGGTAAGGAGATATAATAATTATAAGAAAGACGCGTGAATTTATCCCAAAAAGGTTTATGGCAGTTTGACTTTATTTCAACAAGGGCAGTTTCCTTACTCTCCTGCTTTGAATGAATTTAATGAAGTAAAGTATGTCAATATGCTAATGTTACTTGCTACTGTAAATATTCTGGGTTGTTAGCAGCAGAAGAGAATTCTCTAAATAATAAAATAGATCCGTGTTATTCTGCCCCAATGTTCGTTCTAGCTATTTCATAGTTGATGAAGGGGAATATTTGTGTCTGATATAGTAATTAGTGCCAGTAAAGAAGAGGTTTTGACCTCTTGAACATACCGTTAAAAGTCTTAGCTGTATAAGGATTTTATTCCGGAGTATGTTGAGTTCAAAGATAGTTCTCATTATGGGATTAAGCAAGCTACAGATCTGTTAAAAATCAGGCAGTACTGAACCACCATTGCTTTCTAGTTTCCAACTCCTTAGTGGTACACTTCCACGACGCTATGGTGAACCAGACGCGAAACCGTAGCAAACAGACCAGCACTCTGGAGATTTAAATTCTCATAGAAATGCACATCGATGCAACACTAAGCTCCACACTCCTTTGACAAGTGGTCAAATTCCAGTGTACTTTGATACTGACCACAAGATTGGGTATTCGGATCATATCCAATACACCCTTTCATTGAATGTACACATATCAGAAAAACTCAAATAAGCTCTTTATATGTCCCATAACCACCTGATTAAAAAGTAATGTGGTAAACAGACTTTCTCATGTGCAGTTCATAAAGTATCCGTATTCGTGAATTCCCGAAAAATATACTATATTAAGATACTACTACTGGACAACTTAAGTAGTTTGAAACTACTCAGTCTGACCTGCAGTACTTTACTATCCAGATAAGAGTGGTCTGAACACCGGACAGCTGTTTCCCTGTTTTAGGGTCCAGCTTATCAGCAGTGTGCTTTGGCCAAATTAAACTCATACAGCCAAATAAGTTCAGATCATTTGAATCCAAACGGCTAGCTGACTTGCGTGGACCAGTATACCCAAAATAGAATAGTCTGTTAGCAAATGGCTTACACATTGCACGGTCCTTGTTGTCATTTTTTACAAGTGAGTAGTTTTTCAACTGCCAAACTATGGTATCATCTTGACTGGTCTCTAACTACTCAAGTTGTTCAGTAATAGTAGTAGTACTACCTTTCGCTAGTTCATGACACTTTTGTGTCAGGGATCACACTTTGTGATCATTTCTGAATGGTTTTCAGTAGAAACTTTTTTGATACCAGAGTTAGCCAGTTAAAAAGCCTTCAGATGTAGGAAATGTCAACGTGTACCGTACAATTTGTAAATCATCTATACACTGATCGCCGTGATATAGTGTGCTCTACTGTTTAGAGAGAAAATTTTCAAAAGGAATCAGAATATTTAGACTAGTACTGAATTAAGACCATTTCTAGCCACAGACTTATACCTTGACAATTGATAGTTGATACAATCAAGGTAAACAAAAGGAATAACAGCACTGAAACTCACAGTTTACAAAGGTCAGTTCTTAGTCAGTTAAGCAGTTAAAGAATTAAACCAAATATTTATACACATTTCTAATTATTTGGTCAAGTTTGTCCAAGTTAAATTATTGACATTGACAGAAGAAGCACAAAACTAAATATGAAACTTGTTGTCTTAGATCAAAAAGGCCACCGTCTCAGCGTTTATATACATACTGATAGAATTCAGAGAGAATCAGTCCTATTGCACTTAGTTTGATAATAATAATAATGACGGATGTTAGTTTGCAGGGGAATTGAAGATCCGCATTTTGTCGTCTTCTGGATTCATAAATCAGACGAAAGCTACTTCCTGATTAGTGAAGTTTTCACTGACAAGTCAACTACTAGTCACCTTCCAAAGCTAGTGCCAGAATGAAATTACCGCCAGTATCGATACATTCTTCCAGGAGTGTATATATGCGGATAGTGATCGATCACTTAGGTCTGTTAAACTAGGGGAAACAACATACCATAGGGTCTAACATACTTAGGTTATTGAACTTAAAGATGATTGATTCACAACAACTTTACTTTCTAACCCTTCATCAAGCAATCGAGTGTCATGCATAATTAACTCAAAGTTTGTCTATTGAAATCCTATAAAAGATGACACCAGACAAAGTGATTATCATATTTTCAGGTCTGCAGATAATTAATAGAAGTAACAAAATGGATCAAGAGTTGAACACATCTATGACGCATCACTTCTCATTAGGTACAATTTTAGAATTAAAACATCAAACTGATTCATTCGCTTCATATGCAGGCATTATGTTTGACTCTATTAAACAATGAAGATCTAACATTATATGTAAGACAGAAGCTTCAAAATTAGTGGAAAAGTCATGATACTTAAGTTTTGTAGTGGCGGTAAAATTAGACAGAATTTATAAGCCGTTATGAAGAGATGTAAATCAATCATCTCTGTCATATTTGGAGATACTTAGAATGTTATAACGTAGTAAACATGACAAACATGCCAGTGAATATCTGGAAGATGGATATTCAGTGTGTTGCATAGAAATTCCGTTTGCATAGTTGTAAAAAATGTATTATAATTATTATTTTTAATTTGTGCCTTGGGTTCCTAATGGAACATAGGGCTTCATTAGCACGTCTCTATTCCACCCTCTTCTCTGAAATCTTTTGAACCTGGCTCCAAAACACCCCACAACCTCTCATTTCCTCCTCACACCATCTCATCCATGTCACTGTCGCCTCCAATGCCCAACCCGTCGCTTCCCATCGGGGTTCTACTCGAGTGACTGGTCTGGTGCGTGATGTCCCGAAACCATCTTCTCAGTGCATCACCGATTCAATCCGTCTCAAATTTCTTCTTCTCCATATTTCTTGAGTGATAAGTTCTTGGTCAGTTGGTTCGCTGCCAGGCAGCCATCCAGAGTTACTTGTTGCTTATTCTTATTATTCTAGCCACCCGTCTGATCTTCAGTATGGAGTGAGCGTAGGCGGCATCTGTTGATGAATGTCTGCAGTTTATTGGAAATGCTTTTCGTAACGCGCCAAGTCTCTGAGCCAAACAGGAGCACTGATTTGACGTTGGTGTTGAAAATCCAGATGTTGTTCCACATGCTGAGTGCAGAAGATCTCCACACTGGTTTCGGGCTAATGAAAGCCTGTTTCGCCTTTCCGATCTTGACTTTGACGTCCTCGTCTGTGCCGCCACCAGTAGTTCAGACGATGCTCCCTATATAAGTCAAGGAGGTTAATTCCCTCAAGTTTCTCCCGTTCATGGTGATTGGAGCTTGTTGTTGTTGGTGGTGGTGGTGGCGTTGGTCGTGTATCTTCATCACTTCTGTCTTCTCTATGTTCACTTGAATGGTGTACCGTCTTCTCTGCCTCTTCTGTCAACTTGTTGGTTTTTGCCTGTAGATCTTCAAGTTTGTGTGATATCAAACACAAATCATCATCGGGGAAATCCAAATCTTTTCTAGGATCCTACCTCCGGTGCAGCGTATCCCTCTCTTCTCGTTTTCCACTGTTTGTTGCATGATCCATTCCACTACAATTAGGAATATCATGGGTGACAGTAGAGAGCCTTGTCTTACTCCTGTCTTCACTTCAAAAGCATCACTGAGCTTCCCATTGTGAATTACTTGGCATGTGGCGTGTAAAAAATGTATGGATAGATCAAATTCACACTTTGCTCTCAAAAATCCAAATTCGACTTCAACAGAAAACGGAATCTCGTTAAAAGTTCCAGTTTTTAAATTTTCTGATGTTTAGAGAAAAAAATGTTGGTCATTTTAAGGCATGAAATATTCTTACATGTCATAGTTTACACTAAAGTGTACAGTAGGAAGATGATATTGAAGTATTGAGTGTAGTAGAACTGTTTCATTATTTAAAGGAACAATGATTGCCTTAAGCCGGAAGAGATATTGACTGGTTTTTAATAGGTACCATCAGGTTTGAGAAAAAGGAGATAGATGGTTTTGTTATAAGGAAGTACTATCCAGTTGATGACCAGAATACGGAAAGCATTTTCAAATTTCCACCTTTCGTGAACTTACACCCGATACCCATATGAAACACTAAAACAAAGGAACTGACATTCTCTTAGGTAGGAATTGACTAGTCATAAAATGCAGAAAAAGTCTCAGCTACAGGGAGATTGGGATGGACGGACAAATTGAAGGCTCTAGAATATTAGAATAATTATGATTTCCTCACTATGGTAGCTGTCCAGTGAACTTGAAAGGCAGTGAGAAAATTATGACACAATATGAAAGGTTTGACTGAAAACTACAATGCTGTTGCATTCATAAAAACTTAACGAAACTGGCAGTAGGTTCTGCCAAGAGCCACGGGCTTTAAACAGAGGAATGAGTGTTTCTTTTCTGACGATGAATATCAGGCATTGAATGATGAAGTCATCTGTCGCTCAACAAAAGGTGTAAAGGTGTTTTTCTTCCAAATCTCTCACAGGGTGGGACATTTTGTTGATGAGAATTTTTGTGATGATCAGCGACACAACCACTATAAGATCAGATGGATAACCCTGAATCTAAAGGTGGATTTTCGTGCTACTATGGTGAAGTAACACCAGATTAAAGTATTTCTCGATTATATCTCCAATGAATTTTGTGTTGCGCTACCTACCGCTTATACTTAAAGATGGTATAGATATTGACTGGAATGGTTATGAGGATATTCTGAAGAACATGCCCGATTTTCTCGTAGTGCGGGTGAATGATGAAATGTCATATCCTGTAGAGAAATTAAGCGTCCAGTTACAACTGAAGTCAGAAGTAGTAGTTTACGAATGATAATAGCAGCAACTGGTCCAATATTTCGACAACTGGACCATCTGATTATGTTGTTTTGGATTTTTGTGTTTAAACTATGATTGAGAAAAACACCAAGCTTACTAATTCACTTACGAAGACTGAATTGATCAGTACATCCATCCCACCAACACCGTACTGGCAGTGTTTGATGGATTCAGAAGACAGATTAAGACTGAGATGAATGCTGAGGATAACTTCATTTTATGAATAATTTCAAACCAGTTTTTGTTACACTGCCCTACAGATTTATGAGTGTATATTTTTCATCACTGAAATACTTGGCTTTACTCCTCTTAAAGAAAATTATCAAAAGTATTTAGAATCCTGAACGCTAAAGTTTTTAAGGAAAATTCAGCCACAAAGAGTACATGTTAATTTTCACTGTTCACAGAAACTTTCTTATTATCTATTCCTTTTGAGGATACTTATTACCTCAGAAGAACAGATATGTACACTTAACTTTAGCTTAAAGAAATAATTTACGTGATAATACTCATTTTGTTAGGAAAAAGTTGTTTTATATACTTCAAGTGTTTTAGTTTCTAGTTCATTTAACATTTACTGGTTTAAAAGAAATCTTCTTTAAAAAAAAGCAACACTTTTGTACTGTCACGTAGTGTAACTAATCGTGCAAAACATGGTTTTTTTTTACATAATTACAAATATTTTGTAGAAATCAAGGAATAAAATTACAGCCAAAGTATTTCTGTAGACATTTCGTTAGACTTTTTCTATACTTCAGTGTAAAATCTTTGTCTTTGGACTACTGCTGGATAGGAAAACTTTCTGTCCTGTTCAACACCTAAGAGTTACTTAACATCTTGATGTCGTATCTTGGTGTTGACTTCGATGACTAAAGGAACTTGCTATTATGTTGCCGCATGAGGAAGGAATTACCAAAGGAAACAGAATTTATGATATAGTCAGGTGTTATGTATGCGGATATAAACATCTGATTTCACTCCATTTTTGTATAAGTCAAAATACTGTTGGGTTTAGTTGTTTTCTTAGTCCATAAGTAACTACTTAGAGAGATACTAAAGACTGCCGTTTGATAAAGTTCTTATTTATCTACTCTTGTGAAATTTTTATGGAATCTGAAGTTTGACTTTAAATTTTTTATTTCCCACCTAACAAAGATATGGTATATTATGAACTAAATGGTGAGTCTGTGTAGTAAAAACATTTCTGTATGCAACTACCTTCATCTTGTAAAATAAGAAATTAATAATCACGTTTGTTGTCACTTGCTTTGATGCTTTCACTGACAGCAACTTCTAACCAAAGGATCGCTGAGTACAAATGAAATGCGAATAAAAATTGTCCCTTATTCTTTGCGTACATGGTAGAGTAAGATCATGAGTTACTATTTTAGTAGCTGTAGAACAGTTTGATACTCTGGGGTACAAGTAGAGTCTAAAAATGAAGTTTACTCTAGCTAGAATATAATTCCATCACCTAGCCTAGTGATGAAACATTTAAGTAAAAATATGGAAGCTGTGAGAACATTAAATAAATAACTTTGGGAAAGTAAAAGAAGTATTCAACTGTAGCTGGATGAAATTTTTATTTTTGTTAAGCAACTCAACTATAACCAGAAAATCCAAGAAGTATACATGAAAAAGTCAATCCCTTGAAGGATAATGAAATTTAGAAATAATCGGACAATATTTAATTTCTATATATAGAATGGACTATGGACTATTTATGGACCATTTATCAATCGGAAACAATTATCGGTATCAACTTCCATTCCTTTGGAATCCAAGAATGTTTATGTAATTAGTATTTCAGGAGGTTTATAAATTGTTGTTCAATTCACACTTGGAAACAATGAATTACGAAAACCTTATGAAATATATTTTAAGTGAAATTTGAGTTGATGACATCTAGAAAGTTTTATGTTAGAATTCTTGACGCATAGAAAAAGCTAGAAACCATAATCATAGTACATTTAAAAAAAACTATGGTTCTAAAGAGATTAAACTTACCTGAATTTGATTCAGACTTTATTGTAAACGATTGTATTTATCCATCACATTACTTACCGATTGTTTAACAAATGAAGGTTAATGATGATGTACGGTATAAAGTAGGCATTTGTTTTTGCAGAGTACAGTGTGCAAGCCAGCGATGTATAAAAATGTAAATTGGTGTTAATATGTAGTTTCATATACATGTATTGAGTCAGTGTTATTGATAATATCTGACTACCTAACCTTCAGCAGTTAGAGGACAGTTTAAAACAGTGACTCATCGACTCAAACCAACGACTTGCAGTCATATAAAGAGCGTATGAAAAAGATTAGCCGAATTCTATATAATGGATAACTTTGTACATCTGTTCTTCATAATCTTGTAAATAAATCGCGGAGACTATGGTGAATATGTGACGAAATGAAAGCTAAATATTTTCTTAACTGAATACATAGTGTTCCAGGGCCAGGAGATTGGCAGTAGGAGTTAATTAGAAGCAGTTATCTGGGATACTGAAAATTAGGCTAATACACATTTAACTAGTAATTAAAGTGCAGTTGAGTCGAGAAATTCAGTGACATCTACTACATACTGTTAACTTTTTTAAGTAAAACCAATTTGGTTTTCCACTGCCATAACAAAGAGCCTGTTCCAATAGAACTGTAGACTTCAAAATCTTGTGGTAGACATAAGTACTTGTAAAGCACTCATATCAGACAACTGTATTTTTCAGACCTACGATGATAAAAATAACCAATTAATGTTAAGATCACTTCAGTTTGTCAAGAAAGCGCTGTTAATACATTTCTGTTAGGTTTCCAAATAGTAGTACCAGTTGAAAGATAGTACAAGTCACAGGCGCCATTGGTGCTATCAAGTATATACCATGTTACGGTTTGAATATTTTGATTTCTGAAGAAATATTAGACGGAATTTAACCGCTGATTTACGCCTAGTTTGATCACTCTGACGTAATACCATTTATTTCACCTATCTCTAGCATGATTCCTCAAATGTCACAGTACTCAAATAATTGTTGATGTATTTCTTAAAAAGTATATTTATCACACAATTAAACTTGGAAAACTTTAGCGTTATAAGAAATTCATATTCAGTGGACTTACTGTGATGGTCACAAAAGCTGTAGCAGTTTGCCGTTTATCTGGTGGTGTAGCCTGATCTGTTGCAACCACAGTGAAATAATACACATTTTGCTGTTCACAATCTACTTCAATACGTGTTCTTAACTGACCACTTATTGGGTCTATGTAAAAGCTTTCAACATCTTTTCGTGTGTCACGTTGAACTGAATGATTTTCCTGATACTTTTCTGAGTCTTCAGTAGAATTTTTAGGTGATATAGGTCCCTTTGTTTTAGTATCCAGAGAAACTTGATTTTCTTTTAGTAACGTAACACTTTTCTCATTGTCATCAGTATAGTTCTGAATAGATTTAATTTGATCAGGATGATATAATGGCTCTAGCGAATAGGTGATTTGTCCATTCATACCAATATCTAGGTCTGTAGCATGTATCACATTTCGAAATGTGTTTTTTAAAGATTGAGAATTCGAATTCATCAGCATGACAATCGTATTTGCAGCATTCTCTTTGACATGTCCTTTATAATGTTCTTGAGTAAATTGTGGTGCGTTGTCATTGCGATCTTTAACAATAATTTGTAGTTGATTACGCCCAACTAGACTCGATTCTGTTGTACCATCTTGACATCGAATTACCAGTGTATGCTGTGGTATATCTTCTCTGTCCAAAGATTTAACTGTGATTAAATCAAATATTTTACGTTTTTGTACAAGTCTGTTTGTAGTTACCTCTCTCAATTCAAATTGTTTATTTTTATTTCCTTCTATTGAGCATTGAACACTGTTTAAATCATCTAAATCTGTGACATGTACATGGCATAATATTTGATTTTCTATAGAATGATTCCCACAATCACTTTCGAAGACACTAATTTGAGCATAATTTGAATCTAATGGTTGTCCATGATGATAAAATTTAATTAATGGTGCATTATCATTAATATTTAATATTGTAACTTTAACTTGAGCAGATGCAGATAATGGTGGATGACCTTGATCAACACATACAATTTCAAATGTCAACTGAGATTGTACCTCATAATCCAACGGCTGACTAATTCTCAAACTAACACCTTCCATGGATGGCAATAATTGTATGTGACTGCGTAAATACTCAGGACTAACTTGATTTATACCATTTACTGTACGTATATAATAAGTAAGTCTTGCATTCGCGTCAATATCAGAATCGTTTACACGGATATTCAGTAGTGGGATACCAGCTTTGTTTTCATTGACTTCAATTTGAAATTCAGACTTTTGAAAAACTGGTGGATTGTCATTTTCATCTAAAATCTATAATGAGACAAAAATCGACAAAATAGGGTGAAACTTTTAATTGTTTTCTGATATTCTATAAACATTTATGTATATTTTTCAGTGTGTTATATCCGGTGGTTTTTGCAGATCACTACTGAGAAAATGAAAAATTTCACACCGTATAGTATTTGGTACTAACTGAATCCCAAGTGTGCTTTCTGTCAGGGAATCATAAATTGAACTAATAACATCCTGATTTTCAGTTATGCAGATGTATCTGACCTTTCCTGATCATCATACTGATTGATAAGAGTTTGTTTTACACTGTTTTTCTCGACATTGCTGATGAGTCCTAGCCAATATCAAATTGAAGATCAAGTTCCATCTTTGATTTCTTCCGTCTTTAAAATTATTTTCGAATCTTAGCCTTTTGTTACGTCGGAAAGGTTTGGACATTAATTAGTGCTATAGTTTGTTATCTATCTTAGCTTGTCAAAGAAACTAATTCACCGTTAACATAAGTATACTAGTACCATAATTCGAATAAGCACAAGTTCTATGTTACTAATAACAGTAGGGTTGGTCAAATATAAGATTATGAATTAGCTAGACTATAACTCTTACTGATCAGTATCTACAGAATTTCGATATGATTCAAGTGTTCCACTTGACTTAGGATTTATAACATAAACTTGTGAATTTTATGGTTAGTTTTACAAACCATAAAGCAATCATGAATAAAGTTATCATTATGATAGTGTAGGAGTTAAAGTAATTGACAGGTGACTGAAGTTACAACTGTATAGTACGTAAATGGAGTTGCAGTAAAACTTGCCTCATGTATGTACTACAAATTGATTGAAATAAAATATTTACTTGCATGTATATCATTGAAAGGAATACGAAAAGATAATTTGACATTCAGCGTGCATCTCTTGCCTTTAGAAGTGCCTTCATATACTCATAAAATGTTAACAGACAAAATCAGTGGTAGTATTGTCGGTTAAATTCATAAAGTTTGGAAGAATTTTAAATATCAACGCTTTTTTAAACAATACAAGGATGAGGAAATTGGCTACATGAGATTTATTCGTAAACATTACAATTTAAGATATACACCCCAGAGTTCAAACCTCTCACTCATACGCTCACAGACTTTTTTTTACTAAACATTTTTCATCCATTATTAAACATGAATTCATGAAGGGAAGCAGTACTAAAATACTGTATCTTTTTTGTCAACAAGTATCTTTCTACTTTTGAATAGGATAACATTGGTTCTATTCTAATGAATACTGAAGCAAACACTATTTATAATCAATATTATATTTTGCACTCCTTAGGTGGATTTTCTCAAAAGCTTTCACTGAAATAACTTTCTAACAACAACTTTATGATAGATACTGAGTATTAAGAAGATTTCAAATTAAAGCGTCTTATTTTTATAGTACTAGGTTACTACTACTATCTGAGAAGAGATCAGCACAGATGAAACCAATAAAAGATAGAGGAAAAACAAAGGAAACAATGAGCTGACCACCTCAAAAAGCTCTTGAATCAACCACCACCACCACTGCCACCACATGCAACTTCTCCAGAAACACCACCTGAAGCCACAGAACTACAAATCAACACAAGCTCTGCAACAAGAGCAGAAGTGAAGTCCTGAACGCCATAAAGTTACTGGGAGCCAGGAAAGCGGCAGGACCAGATGGAATTCCTACAGAAGCACTGAAAACAGACGTAGTAACGTCAGCAACGGACTTGCAAAGAAAGGAAGAAAAGATACCTTCAGATTAGAAGAAGGGCTACCTTGTCAAACTCCCAAAGAAGGGGGGCATAAGCATTTGCAAGAACTGGTGAGGAATCATGCTCCAATCCCTTCTATACCAAGCAAAATATTATGCCACATCATCCCAGAGAGACTAAACGATGCTCTTGATTCACAATTACGACAGGAATAAGCTAGCTAGCTGGCCGCATTCAGGAAGTACAAATCATGTGAGGATAAATTGTAACGCTACGCTACACACTATCAAAGAATAGAGCATAGAATGGCAGTCATCTGTCTACCTCACCTCAACTTCATCGACTTTGAGGAGGCCTTCGACAGTGTCGACCGACAAGTAATTAGGTGGGCAGTTGCTTCAACACTATGGAATACCACAAACCTTTATGAACCTCTCTCAACAGCTATATGACGACGCGACATGTCGAGTAATTGACAATGGGAAACTCTGAGGTGCCTTTGAAGTGAAGAGAGGAGTGAGACAAGGTTGCCGCCTACTATCACCCATGATCTTGATTGTGGTCAACTGAAGTGGACTGTAGTGGATTATGCAACAAACTGTGAAGAGCGAGAAAATGAACATACGCTGGTTGGACCGATGAAAAGAGACTAGAAGATTTGGGTCCCACAGATGATTTATGTCTAATGTTCTGCCGCACAAACTTGAAGATCTATGAGCAAAAGCCAACAGGTTGACAGAATAGGAATCGAAGACTAGACTTCAAGTGAATGTAGAGAAGATAGAGGTGATGAAGATACCCAACTATCAATAACAACACTAACAATGCGCCAATCACCATCAGCGTAAGAAATCTAAAGGAAGTTGTCTGTTTCACCTATCTACCTACGTAGGCAGCATCGTTTCAACTACAGGTGGCACAGGCACAAATAAGAATGTCAAAACCAGCATCAGGAAAGCAAGACACACTTTCATTATTCTGAAATCAGTGTGGAGATCTACTGCAATGCAATCAGCATAAAGCGTGAACAACATCCGGATTTTCAACACCAAGTGATTCCATGTGGTGTTTCAAAGACTTGATGGGTCACGAAAATCATTTCCAATATACTATAGACATTCATCAACAGATGCCGCCTACGCTCACTCCATACTAAAGATCAGATGGGTGGCTAGAATAATAAGAATAAGCAACAAGTAACTCTGGATGGCTGCCTGGCAGCGAACCAACTGACCAAGAACTTATCACTCAAGAAATATGCAGAAGAAGAAATTTGAGACGGATTGGATCGATGATACACTGAGTAGAACATTCCGGGACATGGCGCAAGTGGCCCTCGAGTGGAGTGCAAAGGGGAAACGATGAGTTGGGTGTCGTAGCTGAGAGTGACATGGATGAGATGATGTGAGGAAGAAATGAGAGTTTTTGAGCAGTAGTGGATCCAGGTTTAGCTGACTATAGAGAAGAGAGTGAAATGGTGACGTATAACTGCAGCCCTATGTTCCGCTAAGAACCTAAAAGACAAATAATAAAATTGTTATAGTTATGGTGGATAGTGGCTATCAGCATAATTCAGGACACAGGTTTCATCAGCTGGATGTACCTGGCTACCAGTCAGCGATGTTGTTCCCACTGAGACTCTTAACCAAAACCTATAATTTCAAACTTCAAAACGTTATCCCCTAGGACACTGGGTCACGACAGCCACTTTTTGTGCAATAGGTATGGCTTCTATGTTGTTGCTTGTAATATCCCATCTGACTGTTAATCTGTTCGCTTGAAAAATACACTTCGTTGTTAATTGGTTGGAGATGATCAGCAGTAAGATGTGTACGGCCTAGATTTTGTCCTTGCCGGTACTGGTTAGTGCGACGTATCTACAACTTTGAGTAAAGTGATGTTATTTCTAAGATTCGAACCCTCGCCACCCAGTGTTGCAGTCAGTGACTTTGCCCCTTAGCTATTCGGCTAGCAACTGATCTTCTTTAAGACTGTATTAGATGGGTTACTAGACAGTGACCAGTTTCATTTTATCTAGTCCTTAGTATTGTCCACTAGAATTAGGGCTATTTCTAGGCAACAGAGTACCCTACACTTATGTAAATATGTAACAGTCAAACTAGTTGGATAGCTCTTGTTAAGATATCCATACGATTTGAGTTCGACCACTGAGTAATCAAAGTAACGAGAAATACTCGTAAAATCACGTCTTTAATAAAATTTAACAAACTTTCCTTTCACCCTTGAAGTATTACATGAAATTACGACAATATGCAGTTATCGCCCTTGCTAGTCATATTCCAAAGCTTAATGTATTAAATTTGATAAGTATTAAGAATAAATGATTGTAGTTCATTTTTAGTGAACGAACTACCTACTAACTAAGAAACTTGAAAAATTGACTGGTATTAGAAAAATAAGGTAAGTATAAATTCTTTTGTTAGGAACTCAAGTTTATTAGGTAACGCATTACAAGGAAGAAGAAGTAGTTAACTCAATTCATCAGTAAATGTCCATGATTTCCAGGATATACATATTTTCTGCGTTAAAACTCATCAGTTAGATTTAGCCTGATTTAAATATGTCGCTTCAGATACCTGCTTATCATCCACTAGTCGTTAGGATTCTGAAAGTCACCTATTATTGTACAGGTACTAGCTGATGGTACATCTTTCGTTTTCCTGTTAACCAGTTTACTGTCAAATATAAGTTAGGTATATTCAAAAATTGTGCTGTCCACAAGCTACCATGATTTACCAGTACACTACTTTACATTAAACAAATAAACGTTGAAGCTTATTTATAATGCCAAGAACAAAAAAGCTTACAATAAACTAAGTGTTGGTGAAGAAATATAATCTCAAGTTGTCGGTTAAAGGACCGTTGAAAACCTAGGGATATTAAATAGCCATTTCGCCCTATTATAGGACTCTTCAGCAGTGCACTCCCATAACTCCACCAGGGAACGAACCCAAAACCTTCAGGTTCCGCAATCAGCGCACAACCTTTTAGCCGCTGGGTCAGAATCCAATGGTCCAATTTTCTTTCTTCTACCAGCTGGATATGCATTCCAAAAAAAGTAGATTTATCTAACTACTATAAGTGATGCAACTAAAAAACCTCTAATATCCAGCATGGCTTGTATTTATAATCAGTGACTTCATATACTACTTGTAATACACATACACTTGTACAACATGAAGTTACTTTCAGTCTATTATTGTATAAAGTGACTAGTTGATGCATTCATGTTGTTTTAATTCCTTACTCTTTTACGAAATGATTAT